GCCCCTGGCCCTCCTGCACCCCAACTCCTCAAGCCTTTCAGGATCCAGGCTCTGAACGTCCGGCAACTCCAGCTGTGTCATCCTCACTAGACGCTTGATTTCCTACTCTGGCCAAACTGGAGGAACAAGTAACAACGCCAAACTACACCAAGTGCCACCCAGGAGCCCAGGGCGGGGAGGGCGCTGACACCGGAGTGGCAGGAACCCCATGAGAAAAACAGGCCCAAAGCTGGACCCTGAGAGGAGGGAGGGTCTTGAACAAGTAGTGAGGAGCCTGGAGGACGATTTGGGTAGAGGGTCCAACACAGCCAGGAACCGAGCAGGGCAGCCCGGACAACCGGGCAGCAGAGAGGGAGGGGCCGGTCACTCCCGGGCCCTCTGCGGGGCGTGGAGGCGGGGAACCGCCCACCCCAGGGAACCGGGGCCACGAGCTGCGCTCACGGTGCTTCCTGCGGAGCTGGAACAGCCAGGCTGTTCTTCCTTGAGCTGGTCCCCCGCCTGAGGTCCTGTCTCACAGGCCCTGGGGGGTGGCGGGGGTCAGGCCCGGGTGAGGGGTGCCCACATTCCGAGCCGTTGAAACAGAGTGAGGCGGAAAGATGCTCAGATTACCTGATTGTGTACAGACTCATTTTTCTGGGACATGGGGTCTGTGTGCATCCAGAGCTCTAGAGAATTCCTTAAGGCCACCTGGGGGAGGATGAAGAAGCAACACTTGGCTGCCCGCGGGGGCCCGTGCCCCGAGACCAGAGGAAGGAGGAAGGTCAGAGAAAAGTCAGGGAAGAGGCAGTGGCAAGGAGGACAACGAACAGCGGAGGAGGAGGCGGGAGGGGGAGGAGGGCACACGCAGCACACCTGTCCCAGCTCCACGAACGAGTCAATGTTCTCTAACTGCACAGGAAACTTGCCCTTCTCCATGTCGTACACCATCCTGGAGCTGCCGATGTAGTCAAACGTCTCCTGACGGGGAAGACGGGCGGGAAAGGGAACAGAGATTCCCAAGGGTCGGGGCAGGCTCAGTCTCCGGAGGCCAGATCACCAGGGCTCAAGGCACGAAGGCTACGGTCTCGTGTCACCGCAAGTGCTGGCCGGCTTACGCAGTCACGTGACCTCACCCGCCTCCCTGCCGGGCCTCCCAGCTGTGACTATTCCTCATGTGTGTGCATCACAGGACTTCTCGAGCCCAGAAATGGGGAGAGCAGCCTCGGTAAAGGCCCGAGGCGAACATCAGCTGTTATGTGCCTGCTTCCTGCCTCTCCCTCCCCTCCGCCGACGCAGCCGTGGCTGCCCTCCCCTTATTCCAAGGCCAGGCTGTGGGGGCAGTGGGGGGAGGGGGCAGGAGCCTCAGGGCTCTTGGGTGGAAGTGGCAGTGAAAGAGTCCAGAGAATAAAAGCAAAAGGCTGCCTCCCAGAGATCGCATCAGCGGCGGAGGGAGGGGGCGGGCAGCACACTGATTCCGATTCCAGGCCAGGGTGTGAAAGCTTCCTAAGATGTGTGACTCTGGGGGGAGACACGTGGAGACACCTCCAGAAGCTCTTTGCTGAATGACAACTCAGGTCAAGTGCCCAGATCGTCCCCAAACGATAGCCACTCTCACATTTACCCTCCCTGCTGTCCTGCCCCTCCCCGCCTACCCCAGCAGAAGAGCCCCTACCCCTTGGAAGAAGACAAACATGACATTGCGGGGAAGGGTCAGCGCGTCAGGTGCCTTCTGCAAAGCTTCAGCGGCAGCCAGCTGGGTGACGAAGGAGGCGACGGCACTTTCAGCCCCTGGGGCCACGTTCCAGAAAAAGGAACGACTGTCCAGCTGGGTACAGTGGAAAAGGCAGGGGAGGCAGGCTTTGAAAATGGCAATTAGGACCGGGCCCCAGGCTCCCTCTCCTATTCCAGCCAAGGGAATGTGTGTGTCCTGGGACAATGGCCATACGAGGGGGTCCCACGGCCCAGACCCCTCTTCCCTGGAGGCTCCCCAGCACAGCGACTCTGAAACGTGATACGCCCGCAAGAGGCCCCCCAGCCCTTTTGGCGCCAGCCCTGTCCACCCTGACCAGGGGCCCGCACTCACCCGGGTGGCAGCGACCACAACCCTGTCATCAGGCTCTAATGCCCCAGATATATTTATAGGCTTAAGCATGCTCCACACGTTGTAGTCGGACAGGGGGTCACAGACGATTTCTGAGCAGGACAGAGTGAGAGAGCGACAGAAGTTAGGGAGAAGCCACAGAGAAGGCCTGGAGACGCCTCTGACTGCTGCCCCGCGGGCCCTGTCAGTCATTTCCTGCCTCCACTGCTTTAAGTTGCTTTATCTGCCCTGTCCGCTGCAGGAACAAGCGGCCTCAACTGTTCGGAATTGTTCCCGCCTCTCTTGCCCCATGCTCCCTGCCTGAGCTCCCCCCTTCCCAGGTCCCCAGCACAGCAGCCGGGTCTCGGGTCTGTCCTACCTGGGTTGATGCTGAAGGTGCTCTGGATGGAGCTGCGCCGCATACAGGTGACAGTGCTGATGACAGCGTGCATGTGGGAGAAGAGCTGCATGGCGCACAGCGGGAAGGTGGGTGCTGAGCCGTTGGGGCTCAGGTTGTGATCGCGATAGCACTAGGAGGGGAGACGGGCCCCACTGAGGCAGCTCGCGTGGAATCCCTCCCATGCTTCCCAGGAGGGCCCGGCCCCACCCCAACGCTCGCTCGTCAGTCCCTGAGCTATAGTACAACGCCAGGATGCATAAGGTCCGAGAGAAAACCTCACCAAGAGATGCAAAGGGGCACAGACTCAATGACTGACTTGGGGCGGACGGAGTGTCCCCATCCCAAACAGCCTGGCCCAAGTTCCCAACGCGATTAGCTGTCAACTGTGCTGAACCAAATATCAAAAATCAAATTCAAGATAGCTTGGACATCAACTCACCATGTAATTTTGGAACAAATCTAACCGCTCTACAGGTCAAAACAAAGAAGCTAGGCCAGAATTAAAGATTATTGTAATTCAGAACATTCAGAAGCCTCTGAGCTGAATCTCTCGCAGTTCCCAGTCTGATGATCTTTTTCCCACACTCGGGGTTCCTAACCAGGGTACACCTTATTTCAGATCAAGTAGAGTTTATGTTCTCTTCCAGCCTAACAGCCATCAATGCTGGAAGAAGAGGCAGGAGAGAAATGGGAAGGGAAAGGCGAGAAAAATAAACGTATTGGCTTTTCTTGGAGCATCTACCATGCAGAGGTGCCCTGGTGGACGAGCCCTCCAGGCGGGCGGAGCTCCTACGAGATTTCTCTTTGCTAGGAGCTGGCAGCCATTACCTGCTTGATGACCTTGGTTTCATTTTCATCTTCAAGAAGGAAGATGGGGAAGCTAAAGTCTTCATAAGCCAAGCCGTCGCCTAGGGGGTTCCACGGGATTTCTCTGCAGTGAGCAAATTCTGGCCCATACGAGTTGGAGTAAATGCCTGAAGGGGAGGATGGGGGACCAGCTGTTGGGACACTAAGCATTCAGGGCCTGAGTGAGGGAGGAAGGCTAGGATGTCGTAGGGTTGGGACCAAGAGCTCCAAAGGAAAGGGGGACTCAAGGAAGCAAGCATCAACCTGTCACCACCTACAGGGAAACAGACACTGGTATCAGGGTGTCCTGGGCTGGCTGGTTAGGGATCGGGGCCTATGACAGAAAAGGAGGATGGAGGGAAGTGGACGAAGGGGAAGCAGCAGAGGAAGCGATGAATGGCAAAGACAAAGAAACACTGTCTTCTGTTTGGGAGTCAGCTGTTCACACTACACACAGACAGACGCATCCCTCCAACCCTCCAAAGACACGAGACTGAAGCACCAGTGAGCTCTGCGTGACGGGAGGTCCCCTGATCCTCCGGGGCTCTTACCAAACCCATCATTGGGACACTGCACACTAGGAGAGGAGCCCGACGCAGGCCTGGGTTTGGCCAAGGACACTGCAAGGCCAGCAATCCGGCTGGTTGTCCCCTTCAGCTTCTCCATCAGACTCCTGGGACAGGGAGGGAGTGCCATGGAGGAAGACTGGGAAGGTTACCCCTGGCCCAGTATCTTGCCCCCAGGGATGGAAACAAATGGGAAACTAACGGAATCCAAACCTTTGACTCCTTGTTGAACACACGCGGTGTGTTGACTCTACTCCTAAAGAAGTGAAACCCCCCCCCCACCCCAACTGTTAACTCGTTTCTTGCCTCTTTTCTGTCTCTAACTCCTTTTTTTTCTTTCTTTCTTTTTTTTTTTAAGTAAGCTCTACACCCAATGTGGAGCCTGAACTCACAACCCAGAGATCAAGAGTAGCATACTCTATCCGCTGAGCTAGCCAGGGGCCCCTGCTGTCTCTAACTCCTAAGTGAGGACTATGACCCAACCTGAGCTTCGGCTTCATCGCATCTACCCTGTCCCTGAGTGCCCCTATGGGCCCTCCCTCCTGCCTGGGGTCTTTACTCACTGGACCCTATCTGTAAGGTCACCCAGACGACCCCTCTGATGGGGCAGGTTTTCTTCCGAGACTCACTCTCGCCCTGATCGGACCAGGGCAGCCAAGCGAACCTTTATATACAAGTGTGGGGATGGCCCCCCAGATCTTCCCGGCTGTGGCTTCCCTGAAGGCACACGCAGTTCTTACCTGGTGAAGAGCTCGCCCTCCAGCAGAACCACATACGGGGGGTTGGGGCCGTCAGTCAGCACCCACTGCAGGTCCCTTTCTTTCTCCACCACGTGGAGGATCCCTGTGTCCCCGCTAACGGAAGCTGCCAGGACAGAATGGGCTCAGATTAAAGCTCCCGCAGTTGACGACTCTGCCTCTGCCTCACTGATTCTGCAGATCACTTATCTCCCAAACATGGCACTGGATGCTGGGTTAACGCAGCCACTTCCAGACTTAGGCTTGAGCTGAAGAGCTGACTCCCCCAGCTCCACCTGAAGGCGACCAGCAGGGACTGGAGGACGAGACAGCCCGAGAAGTCTACTCATTTGCTAAATCTCAGAAAGGTCATACAATCATTCTCTCACCCTCTTCCCTCAACCTCATTTAGCCACATGTACACATTTCCAGAAGAGGAGACAACATGGTTTTCAAACCTGTATTTTCTCCAGGAAATGGCAGGCTTTAGATCTCTGGCTCAGAGTTCTAGCACTGAATATTCCTGTGTGAAGACATATGTGCAGACTCCCTTGACCTGAGGACAATTCCTGGGTCTCCGTTCCTTTGCCCTATTTGGGAATGACTTTACTTGCTTTTAGCCTGTTTTAGGCAGGGTTACTCAAGAACTTTGAGATCTCTAGAAGAGAGCTTCCCAACTGATGGGTCTTGATGGGTCAGGGACGAGCTGATATTGACCCCCCTCATTTCTGGGGACCGAGGGTCTCCAGAGACCCTAGGCTGGTCACTCCCAGCCAGGAGCAGACTGACCCAGTACCCGAAGATGCCCTACAAATACCATACGTCTCCATATATGCCAGGATGCCATACAAATACTATTTTCTGTATCTCACGAACGACAAAGATCGGGCAGCGCTGTGGTAAAGGATGGGTAATCCATCGTCCAGAATGCCTTGAATTCTATGCAGCAGTGCCTGTCGCGTCCCTCGTGATCCACGTGGAGACATCCTACCATCTCCCCACGAGCCTTCTCGCCAGTGAAAATTCCTACCATGTATGAAAAGTTGCATATTGTTTTAGAGCAATAGTTCTCGACCCTAGTTGAATCACTGTGGAGTTTTAAAAAATACAGACGCTTGGGCCTTATCTCAGACCTACTAAATTAAAGTCTCTGAAGGTGAGGCCCAGGTACGTGTACTTTCAAAACTTGCCACATGATTCTTTATTATACCTAGCCAGTCGTGAAAACTACAGCTCTAGATCAAGGCACTGAAATATTTATAATTTGCACAAGACAAAGAAAGACCTTAAGCACTTCCAGACTGCCGGCCAGGTAGAAGTTTTCTTCCGTGGGATTTGGCAAAATCGAGACACGGACCCAAGTCCCCAACATTCAACTATGTCTTCCACGTGGTAAGTACCCAGTAAGTTCATGTGGATGGTGATAACAATAAACTTTAGAGGAATATCAGGACCTGGAATAACCGTCATAAAGACTTAGCTACCACCAGCAGTTCTAAGTCTGACAAAAGGCAACAGTCCTCGGCGTAGAAAACCCGGAAAAAGGAAAAGCTGTTCTGACAAACAAAATATATATAGCTTCAGCTCCAAGGAGGACAGGGAGAAGATAAGCCAGGACGCTGGAATAAAACACCTGGATTCTAATCTGGATTCCAACTGGTGACTGTATAGTCCAGAGTAACTTGCTTACTTTTTCTGGGCCTTCCATGAAGAGAAACTTTTTCACCCTTATTCATCTCATACCTTGGAGAGAGATTTAAAAAGGAAGGAAAGGAAAGGAACCAACAGATAACCCTCTTTGAACACTTTAAAAGGGGCCAATAGGGGTGCCTGGGTGGCTCAGCCGGTAGAGCACGTGACTCTTAATCTCTGGGTTGTAGGTCCGAGCCCCACATTGGGTGTGGAGATTGCTTAAAAATAAGATCTTTAGAATAAAATAAAGTAAAATCAAATGAGCCCATAGAAACAGAGCAGTATAATCAGAAAGCCAAACCAAATCTTTCTCTCCTTACGTTTACCATGCTAGCAAGCCTAATTAAAGAGGGTGTAGCTTGCTCGGGACAGACAAATACGAAGCAAGACTTAGAAATAAGCCGAAAAGGAGACGAGCTCTCAATGAGGAAGTGGCCAGAGTCCAGCCCCTCCCCTCTCCTTTCTGTGCTGGCACTTGGCTCACTCCTAGAGGCTACTGCTTTGCTTCCCACAGGGCTGCTCTCAGAACACGAAGCCGACTGACTCAGTCCCACAGAGGGCATCTTAAGAGCACACCTCCAGGAAGACAGGGTCCTAGCGTTTTGGCACGAAGAGTGGAGCTCCGGCAAGACCAGCAGTCTGATCTCGGCCCACACTTGGACCTGGCTCCCTTCTACGCACAAACTCCGTTGGAGAACGGAGTCCGAAAATTTCACTTGGAACCGTTTGGAACCAGTTAGCCTACCTCCAGCAGGGACACGGCACGGTGGACACAGAGCGAGGCTCAGGGAAGGCCGGGCAGGAAACGAGTTAACTGCCACATTAATCAGGTCCTTCACTTCGCAGCGTCTGTGTCCGCCTACCAAACTAGGAGATTTCAGGCAATCACGCAGGACTCCGGAGACCGTAGTACTTACTCAGCGTCATCAATAAATGTAGGAGATAGTCTGACTTTCAGCTTTGTGCAGGTACGTTCTAACCATTTTTATAGGCGTTTACTGAAATTCAGAGGTGACCGATATGGTGCCGAAGAAGCCATGATCTGACTCTAAGTTTCCTGCTTACTGCAGAACTACATTCGGACAGAGCAATTATTCACAGAACAAAACATGAAGAAGGGAGGCTATGTAGCAGAGGAACTGGGGTTCGGCCTTCACATCTCTGCTCTTTCTACGTCCATAGTTTGATAACCATACTGTCATGGTACCCTGTTTTGGGACACATTTACAAAGCACAGAGACGAATCCAAATGCTTCACTAATTCCTCCTGCAACTATCTGGCTTTCTCAATGCCTTCCCTTCAAATAGACTACTGCCTTAAAGAAGTCCACTTTGGTTCCAAAAAGATGGTTCAGGTGACGATGGACTCGTAGACTATGAGACTCCTTTCTCCTTAGAAAACAGTACAGTTTTCTACTTTAGTGGATGCTAAGTGTCCTGACTTAGAACCTGAGCCATGGGGCTCAATTCCTAGCCTCATCACTTAATAGCCTGATGATCTTGGGAAAGTTACTCAACTTCTCGCAGTCTCCATTCTGTCATTTGTAAAATGGGGACAATAAGAGAATCTACTTCATGGGGCTGTTGTGATGGTTCAATGAGATGCACACGCACGAGGCTCAAGTAAGCAGCACTTACTAAGCATTAGCTCCTATTAATTATCTTGCCTGGTTTGACAAATGGCTCTCTGTCACCTCCTACCCACACAGCCTAATTTGTGTGCTGAGACTCCCAAGCAGGACTTGGATCTTGAGATCTAAGGCACAGATTGAAATATCATTGGCCACAGGGGTGCCTAGGTGTCTCAGTCAGTTAAGCACCTGACTTCGGCTCAGGTCATCATCTCACGGCTCGTAAGTTCGAGCCCTGCATCGGGCTCTGTGCTGATGGCTCAGAGCCTGGAGCCTGCTTCAGATTCTATGTCTCCCTCTCTGTCTGCCCCTCCCATGCTCATGCTCTGTCTTTCTCTGTCTCTCAAAAATAAATAAACGTTAAAAAAGAAATTAAAAAAAAATCACTGGCCACAACACAAATCCCAGCCTCAACTCACACTGGCAGCCAATCTGATGAGTGGCGTTGAGCAGACGGACACAAGGAGCTGTTTTATTTAAGGAGATGTAGATCTTCCTCTCCACTGAGTTTCCCCTGCACAAACCTGCTCAGAAGACAAAAAGTGTTAGAAGAAGAGAGGCATTGGCACTATCAAGTCCTTAGCTCACCGTATGGCTTGGGTATATCATACTTTCTAAAAAATTTTTTTAATCTTTATTTATTTTTGAGAGAGAGAGAGAGAGAGAGAGAGAGAGAGAGAGAGAGAACGTGAGCAGGGGAGGAACAGAGAGAGAAGGAGACACAGAATCTGAAGCAGGCTCCAGGCTCTGAGCTGTCAGCATAGAGCTCGACACGGGGCTCGAACCCACAAACTGCGAGATCATGACCTGAGCCGAAGTTGGACCCTTAACCGACTGAGCCACCCAGGCGCCCCTGGGTATATCATACTTTCTAAAGCGGGATTAATGTCCATCCTTCTCACTTTCTGGACACATTACTGGATCAGATGAATGCGCCCAGCTATGTGCCCCAGAAAGTTATTACAAATTCCAATCAGAACAGCTGATATTAAAGCTAAAAGAAAGAAAACTTCATTTCCTAAAGGAAAAGGCACGTAACCTCAGATGTCCCAGTTTTCGGTTGCACGGGTGAGCATATTTCTGCTTTCTACCTTGCATGTGCATGTACCTTGCACCCTCGTTAATGAAAGGGTGCCAGTCTAAGAATATAGATTACGATAAAACATCTTTGAGACATTTTTCCAGGAATCTGAACAGAATTGGGAGAAACCTTATGCCACAGATCTGTCAATTAATCTAACATCCACAGGTCGTTTGTGTGTGGCTACAGTGTGGGGCGACTATAATTTCTCCTCTGGGGAATCTCTAAAGATAATATGAACTTGAGGGGAGGTATGGTCATAGTTACATACAGGCACGTTCGCATTTTAGGGCTTGACCAACTACAAAGACCTATGCCAGGACATACATGCGTGTAAGCAAACGTTTCTGCACGCTGTAAATGCCTGAAGTTTCTTGAATCACTATTCCACAGTCTAAACAGTTAAGAGGACCCATACCCTACCTTTGTCTCACTTCACTGATAAGACAAACTGAGGCAAAACACAGGGACACAGGTCGATGGTGGAATCAACAGAGGAGGGAATGAGGAATCCACTTAGTGAAGCACCGCCCTGCACCCACAGAATGAGGCCGCTTTTGTCTCCGACTAAACGCACTGGGAAGGGGCTGAACTGACACCTGTCCTTTCCGACAGGGGGTGGGGTGGCTCCGGCCGTGGGGAAAACGAGGCAGGCGGACAGTCAGGCTGGAAGTCCGGGAAGAGGCCCGGAGGAGGAAATGGGGCGACACGACGTGCCGCGGGGTAGAAGGGGCCCTCAAATCAAATCCAGGCAAAGAAG